ACACAGTTTTACTCAACAAGATTCCATTGTTAAAATCTGGTCTAATAGCTAAATATCCTAGGATGATTTTGGTCATTTTTGTTATTTGTGATTTGAAGGTTTGGGGTGTTGCTTTCTTTGCTAGATTAAAATCACAGAGAAGCCTACTGTTGTCTCCCTTGTCTGCCACTCTGCTGACCAAGATAGTTGGCAGACCAAAGTACAATTAAGTAAAATGATCTTTAGATGTGGGAGAGCAATACATTATAACTAAATATATTTAAAGTGAACCTTCACATATTGCTTATTTCAATTTTATTTTAAATAAAGCAGAAGTAATTATTTATGCTTACGTTATTAGCTAACATAAATGCATTATATTTACTTGACCCTAATGTATTAAATGTGTTTGCAGGCAAAATTAAAATAAACTGAAAATATCTATAACATGTTCAGACATAAGTCCAAATTTCACTGTAAGGAACAATAAGAGCAAAAGTTTTTCTGAGTTTTGAAAAAAAATCTCTGACACCACCAGAGCCCAATGAATGACATTTGAAATACTCATAATTCAGAAAGAGATGAATGGATATGCTATGGAGTTTGCATATATTTGGGAGGAGAATGAGGGATGAAGATAGGGTTTCAGAGTAGAGAAAGTGATTTGGTCTATAAAGCCTTGGATGTAGACACTTTGGGCCACAGAATAATTTCCAGGAAATTGGGATGAATTGGCATATTAATAAGATATTTATAAAACATCTATCTTTTACGTTTTTGAGAACTCCTGTATTTGCCAACGAAAGAAATTACTATTTCTTACTAGACTATCAAAAGAAAAGCTAATTTCAAAAATGGTATTTGAACAACTATTTAAACCTCTGAAGAACTTGAAAAATAAAGATCACTTGCGCTAGGGTTCAGAACTTTAGCACTTCAATTGTGGTCAGTCCTTCCTTTGATTCTTGGGTCTAGTTTTATGACTCAGAGCCGCTCTCTTCTTATTTAAATGGAGTCCAATTTATTTTAGCTTGAGATTCCGTCTTTTAAAATCTCATCCTGAACTTCTCAAAAAACCCAAAGGTCATGTTTACAGAATAGATGCACAGCAGGATTAAATAAATGTGGAACTGCTTGAGCTGCAGGCCTTCTTTTTAATTCTATCAGAGATGCTGTTAATCTTCAGATGATTATTTTTGCAATATAAAATATATATCCTGGATTATGAAAACTAATTCCCCACCTGACACACTCATAAACAGTTTTGTAAGAGCTAATTTTAGAATGTTTCCAGGTTTTTTCATGTCATCATCAGAAACAATTTACATTTTAAAAAGTTCTCCAGTGCCCCTCAAGACCCTTTTATAAGCAAACACTCCTCCACGATACAAAGCAATAAATGTAGTGAATTTTGCATACTGTGGAAAAGATGAGAGCCATGCTTTTTATTATCTTTCCTTGTTTTCACTGGTGGATGAGAAGAGAATTGTTATGAAAAATTGATAATGTAAGATGATCAGAGAAGGCCAAAAAAAAAAAAAAATGACAACAGCAAATACGACCAAAGGAATAAGTTGCACTATCAATCACAGTAGTTGATACGCTGCAATTTAACTGATAGCTATAATCACACTGTTCTTAGCCCTTACATTCTTTCTGTATGCTAAGTTATGTCAGCAGGGATTCATCTTATGAGCAATATTCTGGTTTATGGAACTCTCTGTAGTTCACAAAGCATTTTCATATTATTACTATTTCATTTGCCTCACACCATAATCCAGCGAGAGAGATGAATTAGGAATTACTGCTTATATGTTATAGATCAGTAAAAAAGATCACAGACTATAGTCATACACTCCTAAGCAGTTTTGAGGTCAGAACTACTGATGCAATGTACTTTTCTCCCTATCAGACTTTGAGTCAAAATGAGCATGCAAACACACACACACACACACTATTTAAAAGAAAAAAAAATTTCCAATGAAATTTTTCTCCCATGAAAACTGCTATTATTTTTCCAGGATCCTCTTCTTTCTTTGAGATGGGTTAAAATATTTAGGTGCTATTTGAATTAACAAATATAACTAGTGGTTTTTTGAGAATGATAGTTTTTTAAACCATAGAAATATTTCACTTTAAGCAAATATAAGATATAAAAATTCAGTTTGCTGGGAAGAGGAATTAGAGGATTATATTGCTTTACAAAAAGACTCTGAATGGGATTGCTTTAAATAGCAAAATTCCCCAGAACATTTAAGATATGTTGATTTATGAAAATCTGATTCATATAGAACTTTACAGGAATACATCTGTTATATAAATCCGTGTTCACCTGTAATTTACTCTAGGGGGAACAACTGAGTGATAATAATAATAACACACTCATATAGTTCTTCGTTATGTATTTTAAAGTGCTCTCCCCTAATTTATTGCATTTGTCTTTGGCAACCTTATAAGTGAGGCAGAGAGGGTATTATTATCCTTTCTTTATAGATGAGAAATTGAGAGGTTAAGTGACTTGCCCAAGGTCAGACAGACTATTCATTCGTTTACTGCTATTTGAGTGATGTAGTTTTAACGGGTTAGTCAAGGAAGTAAGGTTCTTCCTCCTAATTTTTTTAAGCAGCTGTGAAGGCTATTAAAACAGAGGTGGATGATCTCACAAATATAATGCTGAACAAAAGAAGCCAGACACAAAAGTGTACATACTGTATGATTCTATTAATATAAAATTCAAATGCAGGCAGAATTAATTTATGGTGGCAGAAGTCAGAAGGCTATTAAAACAGAGGTGGATGATCTCACAAATATAATGCTGAACAAAAGAAGCCAGACACAAAAGTGTACATACTGTATGATTCTATTAATATAAAATTCAAATGCAGGCAGAATTAATTTATGGTGGCAGAAGTCAGAATGGTGGTCAACTTTGGGAAGGGGCGGATGGTGACTGGAGGGGAAAGGGGGGTTTCTGGGATATGCTAATATTGTATTTCTTGCTCTGGTTTGTGGTTACATAGTTATGCTCACTGTGAAAAGTCACTGAGATGTATACTTGTGATTTGTTTACATTTCTTTATATATATTATGGAAGTTTTCTTTTAAAAAAGAGTTTTATATCTTTAAAAACAGTACAGCACTTTAGAATATCATTACATTAGCACTGGGTGTTATGCACAAACAATGAATCATGGAACACTACATCAAAAACTAATGATGTAATGTATGGTGATTAACATAACAATAAAAAAAGAAAAACAAAGAATATCATTACATTTCAAATATCCTTTGAACATTTGTGATTTCAATTAAGTTTCCTAGCTGCATTCTAAAAATGAGAATATGAACTAAATTACAAGAGTTTAAAGAGAAGGAAAAGTTTATAAAAAACAAACACACATCTGGGATCATCTTCACCTGAAAAGTTGCTCTCTGAAATGGGAAATCAAAACAAACTAAGATAACATAATTCATTTAGGACCAGTGGAACATTTACATTTAATGACATTAAGCTAGGAATTGTAGAGAAATGACATTAAATTGTGATTCACATAGTATATTCTAGAGTATATGTATGACTCTAAGGAAGATAAGATTTTAAGTTTTTTAAAAATCTGCTTTATTTTAGAATTTCGTATATTAGAATGCTGCATTGGGCATCAAGGTAGAAAGCCAATGGCAATGATAAAAATCTGAGGAGAATGTGCATACCTGGGGACAAACATGGGCTCCTGAGAATCCCAAGTAGCCTTCCATGTAAGAATGTTTGGGAGAAATATGTTTTGACCATCATCCAGGATAGAAATTACAGCTGCATTCAGTTGCTTAAGGCAGTTTCAAAATTTATATTGCAGTTTTCTAAGAATCCTTCACCTCCTGTGACCCTGTAACTCTGAGAACTAATGCCGCGCTTATACCCAAAGTTACCACTGACGACATATGTTTTGTTTAATTTTCACACATTATCTTTTTTGTTGTTTTTCTTTCATTTTATTTTTCTAAAAAAGAATCCATTATAGTACCTTCAAGTCATCTGAATCAATTCTCTATCTTGATATCATAGGTTGGGAACAAAGAATTTCCAGGTGTGTGTGTGTGTGGAGGGGACAGACCCCATTTCAGGGTGCTTGCCTTTCACCAGTGATGTTTCAAAGCCAACTCCACCACAGCTAGGACTACAGCTTGGTGAGTTTTTTCCCAGGAGGGCTGTTGAAGGCATCCTGTTCAGGGAGAAGCCTTTAACCTTTAACCCATTCACACATTTGTTTTAATTCCTGACCAACTGCCGTATTCTTGTGGGTTAGGGCCTTGCTAACTAATTTTTAAAAAATACATGTTAGACCCTAAACACCTGTAAGTAGCAAGCTGCACATTGTATATAAGGCACACAATCAAGTTCATTGTGATCACTACATGCAGGACAAGTGTGAGACTTAGCTGTCTTCTGGAATCTGGGTTATTAGAAGGTCAACCCGTGTTCCCCAGAACACGGCTCCAGAGATAGGGAGGAAGAGACAGGAAGAGCTAGGTTGAAGGAATTCTACTCAAGCCTCAGCAAGCTGCCCCAACTTCTCTTTCACTGTCAAAGGATAAACAAATCACGACGAATGGGACACGCATGTCTATGGGCAAGTCCATGTGGAATCATTTCATGATGTTTTTTAATGACAGGGATCAAGAAGGCACAACTGTTTCTTTCTGGGGGAACCCTTCAACAACAAAAACTCCTTGAATCCCTGTGGAAGCCTCACTACACTAATTCACAGTTAGTCATATTCCTCTGAATGTGACTTTTGAAAACTGAAAACTCATTCCTATTTAAGCTCATATGCATATCCCTGAATTTAATCTTCCTTACAGCAGCTGAATAAAGCAAATTCCATTCTTTGACCTTCCTCACTGTCTCTCATTCCTCCCACCTGAAATCTCTCACTTTTTCCTTATCCACAATCTGGACCACAGTTTTAAATAACTTAGACTTCCATTATTTTTAATATAGAGAAAGAAATTGAGATACTTGCCATCAAGCCTTGTTCTCCTGGTTTCCCTGGTTCACCCTTAAAAACGAATAGTGATAATTTTTATTTATGCTGTAAACATTAAAAAGCAATTTCAATCTTTTTTTTTCTCTTTCACAATACCCACCGGGGTGCATGAATGTCAAATATACTTTTCAGGCTAAGTAGAGAAATGCAAACACAATGTAATAAAAAGAGAGCCAAGTTCTTTCTTCAAATGCATTTTATAAACATTTTAGGATTCAATAAAATGAGTCTAGATCACAGCAGAGATTTAAGAATTATGCCAAGAATGTATTCTAAATAAAACTAGTAGGGGTGATTATATTGTAAGTCAATAAATAGTCCTAGAAAAATATTTAATTGTAATTCCAGTAACATCTCATTTATTATGTTCTGTTCATGATGACATAAAGATGATGACCTAGGCCTCTTTATGAGAACTCAGAACTTCCATATACAGGACAGAGAGACAATTGCTCTTAGTACAGGAATTAAATAATAAAATGAGCAGATTGATCTTGAATTTTGGTTTCCCTGGATTAATGATGGCTGAAATAACATGTTTTATTAAAAATAATAGCATATGTTAAAATACATAGAATTTTGTGCTGTATCATACCACTATCATAGTTTTCTAATACTCAGATTCATATAAAATTCCTTATTATGTTTTATTGTCATATTATTATATTGATAGTTATTGGCAACAGATAGCTTTTGGAAAGACCATTCGTGTAATGTTGATAGCTATAGAAATTGTTGGACTTTAAAAATAAGTATTTCTCAGTTTGTTTTTATAAAACCTTTTTCTAGTGGTTATGATGGTATATAAAAATTAACTGTGAGACTATAAATACAGTTTAATTTCTCTTTGTGGAATAAAAAAAAAACAAACCTTGTTCATGCTTCCATGTAAAAGCTCCATTTCTTACTCAGATGAATAAACTATATTCATTTAGAGGATAACATAATTTTTCAATTATTTACAGGTTGTCATACCTTACCTTTATCTTATTTCTTGAAAGTAATCTATACTTTGAATTTCCTGTAGAGTATACAATACCCAATGATCTAATTTTGTACCACCAAAATGGTTTTAACTACTCTTCTTAGTTGAAGAAACACTCATTGTATCTTTCTTGGCAACCAGCAATCATTTGGGGAGCTTTTAAATATCCCTAAAGGTGTGCCGTCTCTATCATTTGGGATATCATTCCAGGAAAATATCAGACCTTCAAAGACAGTTTCAAGATGAAACCACTACCTTTGATGGTTCAGTGAAAGCCATCCTAACAACCAACCAGTCATAGGTTGGGAGTCAATCCCTCACTTCAAATGACAAATTTACAGCCACTTTCAGAAAGGGAAATGGGGCTTCCAAGAGATGGTCTCAGAAAAGCCATAAAGTACCCTATATTCTTACAAAGAGAATCACTCTTTGAAAAAAATATGTAAATATATGAATATAAAAATGAAACACACCAAAACATTAATGACTATGGCTTATTTTTTTTTTTTTTTTGGTTCTTTAGTTTTAAAAACTTTCTACTTTGTGGATAACTATTTTCATTATTTTGTACTATGAAAACACTCATGAAAATAATTTAAGTCAAAGCAATAGATAAATAAATTAATTCAGCAATAAATTTGAATTTCAAGTCCTAAGGCCATAATATAAGTGTAAAATTTTTTTATCTTTTCCATATATTTCTTTCAATTGCTGGGTTGTCTCTACCAAATCAAACCATGTAACTACTGTATTATTGACACTTGATCAATCTTAGTGACTAAGTACTTAGATCTAAGTATTGAGACTGCTTTAAAATCATTTCTATTATTAAACTTCACATATAAAGGACAAATGATATTCAAACCAGACCTACTGATGTTTTAACCATTAATATTACTGTTTTATTAGCATTTTTTTCTTTTTTGGTCAATTTATTTACAAGAGAGTAAACTTTAAGAAGATTTACCTCCTTTGCTTTCCATAATTCATATGGGACTTTATTGTCTGCCACTGATCCTTTGGAGAATGTTGCCAATCTCTCACCTAGATTTTCAAGCTATTCTCCCATCATTTAAGCCAAAGGCACTGATGTATTCCAAGGTAGTCAGGACACAAGTGAGATCAGGCATGCTCAATCACGGACTTCTTGAGGCTTACCTGAAAACCAGCTTAGTGGCCTTCTCCGGGTCTCTCTTTGTGTTTCGTGTGGGTTCCCCAGAGATTGAGTGGTAAAGCAGAATCCTGCTGGCAGTGCCCTTTCTGCTTGGGGACTTTCACCCCACTTCCCTGCAACCCCCTAACCCTAAGGCCCCTCCTTACCCCACTCCATCCCAGTTCTCAGCCCTTAAAACAAATGGATCCAAAATGCAACTCACGGGCACTCCTGGCATTCCACGGGGGCCATCTTTCCCTGTGTCCCCTGGAGGCCCTCTCGGGCCAGGGGGGCCTGGGGGGCCTGGAGGCCCAGCCTGTCCTTGGTCACCCTGTAATGGAGAAGGAAACAGACCAACAATGACCATGAAAGATAAAGTCTTCTTTTCAACACTTTAAATTTGTATTATCTAATCCACATTTACACTATGAAAAGAACCAGAACAATCAGAAACATGAAGCCTGTAGGCAATTTGCCTGCCAGCAGGGAGCAAATAAATATTCATGCTGGGCGAGCTCAGTAGATGCTATTTAAAATCAAAGCAGCTCAGGAACCAGCACTCTCAGCTTTTGGAAGTAGTGTGTAAGTTATCATGATAGTCAGAGCTAGTATAAAACTTTTGCATAACTTGATTCATGACAATGCTGCATCAGTTATATTCATCTTGTTTAATAAAATGGCTGCATTTGTGGTTGGACAAATGTGTTTACTTTTTCACAACTTATAAAATTAAACATACAAGCTCTTTCAAACTGTGTAATAATTGATAAATTACCACAGCAAGAGAGCTTAGAAACTGGATCTATTACTGGATATAATTTCAGCTGTCTTTCTTTTTTTTAATTAAAAAAAAATTAGGCATTCTTGCCTTTTTACTTTGGTACTTCCATATACATTTCAAACAAATGCAGCTCCCTAGACATAGTTTTGCTCCAGGATAGTTCCAAATAAATACCCCCACCCATGAGAGATAAATGGTAAAGCAACTGTAAATGGAGTAATAACTGAATGTTAAGAAGAAATCAGACTTGAGCAAGAAGAAGCACTACCTTAATGAGGCGGCGTTTAATGAGCTGCTGATCAGCAGAGAGAAACCCATGATTGATTTTAGGAAACACCATCTGATCAGTCAGGTGAGGTCAAAGGTTGAAGTTCAGAGGTGAGAGAGTTGGAGAATAGACATCAGAAGGCCCCAAGAAAGAAATAAAGATATACACATTAGATTTAGAATGATCATTAAACAAAATGGAACTGGTGCTTGTGTCTGACGTCAGACTTTCTCTTATTGTAAGAAACATAACCTGAACATGGGACGGCGAGACCAGATTTGTAGTTAGAGAGGAATCTTTTGTGTATCCCATCATTTTGCCGTGGGCGTTAGGCCTCTTTAATGCAGTATATGAAAGAAGCAGGAACGCTACCATCACCCGCACCCTGCACACTGAGCAGAAAGTCCGGAAACAAAGCACCAGTTCCAATTCCGTCAGACTTGTCAACCAGCATAACGTGGCATGAACGCAACCACCATTTTATAAATGCCTGAAGTCCAGAGTCCTGAGGGTTCTTTAATTGACCGAAAAATGTCACAGAGTGTTGGCATGCATGCAGATCAAACCATCGAGGTCTGGCACCATCCTAGATGGTCATGCCTGCCTCTCTTCATTATCCCTGCTCAACTTCAATATCCTTCTCTCTTCTATGTTCACGATTCTCCCTCTCTAGCTATTTCACCTCGTTGATGTAGGTGAGGTCCCAAGGATCCAAGACCTCAATGCATATGGTGAAAGGGAGCAACTGGACTTGGCAAGCCAATTTAGCTGTTCTTGCTCACTCTTATGCTGATTGCGGGCTCTGACTGAGCAGCATGGGTGTCAGCCACAAACCTTGACGGTGAGGATCTGATTACTGTGCAGAGCAGCAACTGTGGGGAAGCCTGGTAGACCCTATGGACGTGGGACAGTACCAAAACAACACGACACAAAACGTCACACAGACATCCCACTGATAGACAAACAAAACAAGCATGTACCTAAGACCACCCTGTCCCGGCTCTAAGTCTTATCTTGTTTGACACACTGTACAGGAAATCAGACACACGAGGCCCCCCAGCAAAACATTCCTTGAGTGGAAAGGCCAGATTGAGAACTCATTGTAACTTGCCCTTGTGGCAGTTACACTGGGATCTGTGTACACACTCTTAACAGTTCTGGAATCTTACATACAAAATGTTAGCACAATATGGAGATAACTGCAGACACTGTTATGAAAACAACACTGTAATTTCCCTCCATTGATATTCTGTTTACAATTCAGGACATAACACATATTAATTCTTTCTTGGACAATGGTGAACAGAATTTTGTAGTCTGATCAGAAATATTCCTCAGAATAAATGCAGTCCTCCTCACAAAAGATAGTCTTACCACCCACATATCAAAATTTCTCTCTCCAATCATACTATGATTCTCAGGTCTTTCCTGTTTCAGGAATTCCTGCAGAGGTGGTGGATGGAAATCTGTCTCTTATAACATGCGTATTTCATGTCAGAGGGATTTATGGTCACACTCAGCAGTAATCGCTTCTGTCACGTAACTTTTCCAAAAGAACTTAACAGTTCACACAACCCTTGAAGCAGAAAAGTGGTTTTTGAATTCCTTAACCAGGGAGAACGGGGGAGAGATGTTTTAGACACTCGTACTTCACTAACTTGTGCTAATTCGTGTTCACAGGCGTTATCAATTGGGTAGGTCTGAGAGAGAACTCTCGTCTTTGTTCTGTTTCTTTTCCAACAACATGAGATACTGGAGCCTTTTATTCCATTTTTTTTTTTCACACAAAACATGTTTATCATATAAATAAAATAAACAGCAACCATAGCTTCCATGGCCTCAGGTGACTGCAAGCTTCCTAGACGTTCTCTCCTCGTTGCCCTTCCCCTCTTCCACTCAAATCTATTCTGAGGATATTTTTAGTAAAGGCCAGTAAGTTTCTAGTTTTTAAATTTATATTAATCGTGGTATGTTTTTCTCCTCTATTTCCCCCTTATTCGGGATATATTTTCCTTTTTAAAAGAACCAATAAAATTATGTCTGTGGTATGAAGACATCTCTTCAGCCCTAATGCCTTTGTGTTTCATTCCTTAGAGCTGGGACTTCTCAGGAAGCAAAGCAGGGGAAATCTTATCTGTTTTGCCAAATCCTTTCTGATAAGGCTATTAAGTTTCTGGGTAATTTTGAGGTGACCTGTGTCTTCTTTTTCTTCTCCCAAAGGAAAAGTCCTTGAAACATAGACGCTACCCAAATTGAGAAATACTACAAGTTGGAAAACAGATGTGTACAATTTGCTTTTGTTTTACTATGGAATATGAGCTTAAAATGTTATTAGATGGTAATGTGCCAGCATCTTTCCATCTGTGACTCATTAGCCCTATATTACACAGTCAGAATTTTATATATAAATCTCATATTTATGTAACAAAGAACAAAAACAGATACAAACAAGAAGTCTATGAGGGATCAGAATCTTGACTAGTGGCAATAAATCATAATGTCACTTTGAACAGGATTATCTAACAAAAATAATTTAAAATTAAAAGCCTTTTAATAGCATACATGGTAGGCCTTACAAATGTTTTGAAATTTGAATGTATAAATAGTCACTTCTTGTACTCCTATCTGAGCATGACCAGCTTGCTGTTTGATCATATTTTCTAAATGCTCACAAAAAGCATTAGTTTTATAACTTCTTAGTTTGGTTTCCAGTGTTGGTGATATCTAAAGAGGAAAGTGGATAGGTAATTCTCTCCTTGGACAGATCCTTTTCATCAAACAGAAAATCTCTATTTGAGGCAGCTAATTTTATATTCTTCAATCATCTTAACTGTAGAAAATGCTACCAATTAGGTGCTTAGAGTTACATTTTGAAGATTTTATTAGTGAGTTAGGCAAAAGGACTTCAGAAGTTTATATGAAACAGAGTAGAAAGAGACATGTGGAAGAATTCTCTTAAATTCTAACAAAAGTCCCATGGCCTGGGCTGTAATATCCTAGGACCCTGTGCTTTTCAAACCTAGGCAATGCTTGAAGGGTACATGCCAGTGTTGGTGGGGGAGGGTGGGGGGGTAGATAAGGGTTATTTAAAGGCAATAATAAATACGGCACATCTTCCTTAAGATTCAAGTTTGATAAACATTAAATAATTTCAATTTTTTTATGTAAATCAAACATTGTCATATTATGGGGTAGAATGCAAAATTTGTACAAATTTTTAAAAATTTTACCATTTTCTGGTGGTAGAGAACCTCAAACCACAGAGAATACCTCTAGATTACAGGTAGATACTGAACTGACCCTCTCCTTCCCACGGGAGGTCTTTGGAGGATAAATTTGAAAGGTACTGGTGCCGAATACTTATCTGTAAGTAATGGTTTTATGTGGCCATAACAGTTAGGTTTCCCTGGCTGTTCACACAGAGTGTACTTTTTCATTAACTATGCCATTTTTTTTCCACAGTATCATTAGTCATAGTCCTTTCTAAATAAATGGAATGGACATATTTCACTTGGTTTTACATCTTGGAAAGCTTGCCTGGTACACAGATGGTTCAATTGGGTGTGGGAAAAAAAATTTGTCTCCGGAAAAACATGGAGAAAGAGTCCAGGAATAAGCTGAAATGCTGAAATAATGTGTACAATTTTCACTCCCAAATATTTTGAATTCTTAAGAAATTGGATGTACGAGAGTATAAAACTACCTTACACAACCTATTTTCCTCTTGAGGGCCTACACAGACAACTTCACGAATCTTCCTGACATTCCTCAAAGTAGGTTACAATCTCAGACCAGTGTTTTAACATCATTTTAGGAGGAGTTTTATGTCCCTTCATTACCTTGTAGAAGCAAAGAGGAAAGGCTATCCCAAAGAAATGCTGAACAAATAGATATTTCATAAGACATGCTCCTAACTACTTAGAAGTCATAAATTCAAGATGCTATTATTTATTGTATACTCAGTAATGGTGTTAGATGATTACATTATAGTGAGAAAACTTTGTGTTTTGTCAAAAGTATTCAATAAGGCAATGTTAGAGCCAGGAATTTCATCCATGACTTCTAATTCCAGACTTTGTCATCATGCAGGATATGTGTTTATAATTTCTTTCTACCTCACAGTTTGAATATTAGAAATATCAACAATATTTAAGAAGTATTTATTGAGTGCCTTCTGTGTAGCATTTGCTGTACTAGGTGAGGGGATTGAATGGTAAGCATGACCACAAGCTCACAGGGGTCAACATCTAGAGGAGAAATAGGAAAAAAGAAGCAGGCAGTAATCATATGGAGGGATGACCATTTTGGTGAAGGAGAGGGGATACAAAGTACATAAAAGTGTACCTAATGGCAGGTTTGAGGAACCCTGGAAGACTTCCCAAGCCATGTGAATGAGGGGATGGGAGTTAGTACAGCAAGAGGAATACTAAAGACAGAGATCCCATTTAGGAAAATATTACAATAGTCTAGTTGCGGGACTGGGCCCTAGAACTAGAGAAGGGACAAATCCATAGTTTCAAGTGATATTAAGGAGGTAGGATTCACAGGACCTGTAGTCTGGCTGAGAGCAAAAGGGAGAAGGAGGAGCAGTGAGTGGTCCTAGGTCTCTCGTCTGAGCAGTGGAGGATGGTAGAGGAAACACTAGAAAATAATGGGTTTTCTGGGGCAGCTAGGTGGTTATGGATGACGAATTCAGTTAGGGACCTATTGAATTGAGGTGTCTATGAACAGCCAAGGCATGGCAGTTAGATATGCATATAAAATAGTCAGGAGAGAGGTGGGATTCACAAGTCTAAGGGCTGCTGAAGTCACGTAAAGAGGCTGTAGAGAGAGCAGATTTAGAAAACAACTCTTGGAAAGACTTCAATTTAGGGATGAGCAGAGGAAGAAGCAACTACAAAGAGAAATAGTAAGTGTGGTTGTAGAAGTAAGAGGAACGCTAACTCACCTCACAAAAAATTCTATACAGGCAATGATTCAAAATGACTCATTAATGAAAACTGCATTAATTAATTGTGCTGTATAAATAAATATACATGAACTGAATTCCTCCACTCACTGTTGCACTGAGAGGTAATCTAGAGGCTTACAGTGGCCAATGCCACCAACAGTGGATGCTCACTGATATGCACAGGGGAGTATATCTGAGGTTGTAGAGGTAAAAAGGAAAAATTAAACTATTAATTATAAAAGTGGACAAGGAACCTCAAGAGCAAATCACATTGGAATTCCTCCACTCACTGTTGCACTGAGAGGTAATCTAGGGGCTAACAGTGGCCAATGCCACCAACAGTGGATGCTCACTGATATGCACAGGGGAGTATATCTGAGGTTGTAGAGGTATAAAGGAAAAATTAAACTATTAATTATAAAAGTGGACAAGGAACCTCAAGAGCAAATCACATTGGAAGCTGAGAAATGAAAATCCCTGAGTTTCTCCATAATGTAAATAGTATCATGACTCTGTTAGCCTCAAATATATCATGAATTACAATACAACAATTACAGTAGGTATGTGTACAGCATAAATAAAGATGAATATTCCTAGAAGTTGATAGAACAATTTCTAGCTAAGAGAGACCAGATGGGGAAACATTGTAATAGGATGCAAAAATATTTAGGTAAAAGAATAACTTTAGTTTAACAGCAGGAACTGCTAGAAAGCAAAATAGGGAAAGAAAAAAAATTAAGAGAAAGGAATTTGCTGCTAAATCATTTCAAATTGCAGTAGATGGTATACTCTGTCTGAATAGAAAAATCAACTACACGAAGCTAAATAGCTAATGGAATCCTTTGAAGAACCAAATACCATGAGCCTATGAAAATCAGAATTTATAACTGATAGAAAAAGATTGGCTTATAGAAATATTAATTATGGGAAAAACTAGCTTTCT